TTTTGTCCTGCGTACCCATAAAAGGATATCAGCTAGAAAAGAGAAGGCCCCCATAATGCAAAACACCAAAGTCAGCTTTGAACAGATATTTGCCTCTGTCTTTCCTCTAACATAAACAACCAAGAGCCTTGGCTAGTCTTATGAAGCTTTAACCCTGTAAGGCTTTTCATATGCACCTGAAGGACCAGAAGGTGGCAGTGTTTTACAGGAAATCATCACAGAAAAGACGATATAAATGATATTCCATGTTCTTTGCTATGACTCTCATGTTATTGGATCATTTATCTGGCCTTCTTCCTAGATGGGATTTAACTCTTTCTGAAAGGCAGTTCCCTTTAAAGAAAAAGATTTTATGGCAGTACTCAGTGTTTTAAATGATTTTCATGACACTGAAAATAAAACCTGACACTATAAGTATTATTACTAGTGTAAGCATCCTCTGATGAAAGGGACTGGAAAAGGCCGTTGCAAATTTATGATCACAAGTGACATTTTTACCTTAAAACCCTGTTTGTAAAATAATAGATTGTTAGAAGTTTAACACCCAGAAAACCTTTTTTTGTATGTGTTAATGTCTGTGAAGCTCCATTAAAATATAATTTCAATGTTTTTTTGCCAACTTACTCTCAGATTTGCGTAAATCTTGACGAAGCCACTGGATGGCGACAAAGGTCTTTTGAAAAGGCATCCCAAACCATTTTTGAAGAGCTGCTTGTATTTATTTAGTCTGCCTTGTTTGGTGTACTGCATAGGACACCAGTTGCATCGCTACATCTGAGCACTTTTTTTTTGTTTGAATGGCTCTGACATATTGTGAGTCATTAGCCATATATGTGGAATTATTACCACCTTGCGGAGCTTTTCTGGCTGTCTGCCTACTGACATGTAACACTGTGGACATCTTTCTGAGGCTTATTAGTTGGAAAACCCTCCAATTAGAGCTGCCCTCTTTCTGGCAGGCTGTCAGACCAATGATTGTATAAAAGAGCCACACAGGCACTAAATGAGAGGACATGTCACGATTCAAGGAAGTGACTTATCTTATTTCAGCAATCAGACTAGTCGTTGTCATCATTTACATCAATTAGATAAATTACATTATGAATTAATGGGGAAAAAATCTATTTAATGCCATGAAACTATAAGATTATTTACATTAAACCTTGTTGGACTGCTCCAGAAAAAGGGATAAATTGTATATCTATAGGAATTATTTACTTTGAAATCACAGGTTAAAACATGAACTGTACATTGAGTTGGGCCAAAGATTTCTTGCCAAATATTTCAATGAGCAAAACAGTATGGTAATATTAAGATCCTGGGCATGTGCAAGATATATAAAAACTCTGTTTTGAATTGATATTAGATCAAACTTATTTTATTTTGTTAAACAGGTAACTTTATTTCCTCCCTCATTAAAAATTACAAATTTAAGGCACTTCTTGCATCAGTGAAAGCCTTTCTTGATGGATGTGCAATACAGGCTTTCCCTGCTGTACTGCTGCTTTCACGTGCACATGTTGAGCTCAGCTTCAACAACTTCATTTTTGAAATTAAACATCTCAGCGAAGTACTCACCAAAGCAAATACTTTTTTTTGAAGGGGGTGGTTTAAATATGATTTATTTAAACCAAATATGATTTAAACCACCTAGAAATACGAAATGTTAGTTCAGTACCATGGACAGCGGAACTGGGTTCCTTCAGATCTTTAACAGTAATAGATAGTAGTGCAGGAAGGCGATATAATAAAATACTGTAACTGTGCTGCTTCCAAATGTCTAAAAGTTTACTTCAACATCATGTTGATCAAACGCACGAACCTGCGAGTAGATTGGTGTCTTTGGACGAAAAGGCGTCAGAGTTGAATGTGTAATGCAGACTTATAAAGTGGAAATTAATCCTGTGTGCGTGGCTCACATACTCAACATCACCGCCATACAACAAGCCTTTGCAGTAAAGGCGCCTTGCCTTAATCATCAGCGAGCGAGGACCTGCGCAAGATCATAAATCAGGCCTGAAATGTAACCTGGCAAAGTAAAGGTTTCATCTATTGCCAATATGATATTATGATATTGGAAAGCTTTTCCGCAGAGGTTGTGCGTCATGCCATTCTCTATTAGGTGCTATTTTCGTCCTGCCCTGGAAGACATTTATCCACCATCTACCCACCCTGACAGCACCCAATAAACCCACCACTCCCATTCATCTCCACCCCTCCACCCACCTCAAGCCTCTCCCCCTCCCTCGCTTGGTCCGTCTCCCTCTCTGCTGCCGACCAGCATTTGTGATTTAAAAAACAACATAGTTGAATGGTGTTTGGTCGTCCAGGAGGATTACAGACTGGCACCGCAATATATCACAAATATAATTTGTCTCTTACACTTTTTGAATCTACTTTTGGAGTCCCAGCTGTTGTGATCTATTTAGACCCGTTTTTCCAAAGCAAAGGTAAGAAAATTATATTTTGTAATGACTTTACTAAAATGATATGTGGTTGCCGAATTTTACTGCATTGACAATCGATTTAAAGAGAGCTCAATAATTCAACACCGGCCTCTTGGTGCCATGGTGTCAGCGCAACGGGGAACCTCAGGTTTGAGTTTGAGCACGAACCTCATTAATGCAGCTGTTTTTATGAATCTGTTGGAAAACGGACCGGATTTTTTCCCCAATGCATCGCCATTACAAAGGAGTGCCCGACTTTTGCGCACAATAGAGTTACCAGAAACATGCAAATGTAGGTGCAAATCTTTGAAAGCGTAAAGTTGTAAATACGTTGTTTTTTTACTTACTTAAGTCAAGTGACCGAAAGGAATATCTGTAAATGAGGGCGGATAACGCGTGTAAAACACGTTCAGCTGTTGTA